TTAACACTAACACAGTCACCATCACAAATTAAACCCGTCATAATTCACCACAATAAACAGCCAAAAATAATGCAGGAGCATGCCTTATATCACAACCGCTGCTTCTGGACAGTCCCCCGTCTTGGGATACAGTCACTGCCAAATTCAGCAGCTAGGAAAACGCCTGTACCTTGACTACTGTAAGTTGGGGACTTCTGTGGACACCCAGCTCTGGTCTGGTATCGCAGATATATTACTCACCATCGACGCAAGCGAGCAATCACAGCCCGGAGTCCGCAGCTCAGTCAACCTATATCATGTGCCAGTTGCAACAATCAACACTTACCCCAACCATTATAATTACTGTACTACTAACAATACATTTCACTTTAATTCATTTTATACTTTGCAAGTAAACTCTTTTATATCGGAAAGTTATTGTTTGTACAGAATGAAAGTTTATTTTTTTCTGAAAAGAATTTTGAAAGTTTACAGTTGTGTATTATGCTTTTGCTTACCTTCATGATTTCTCGGAATTTTCCTATCTCCCTGGTAATCAGATCTCGTTTACCTTCTTCTATGTTGGCATCGTCGAGGTCAATCGGCTGGAAATCAAATGAACATACATGTTGAATAGCTATATGAATCTGTAGTATTAGTTTTAAGGACAACAAAATACAAAACCTATCGTGCAAGCAAACACTGCCAACCAGACGATTACTGCTCTTACTCAACACCAAAACTACTGTTTTAAGAAAATGTATAGTATCCTGTTATGACAAGAAAAAATCCCTCCCCTCGAATTATAGGGTGTTATGCCTACGAAACATCAAATTACTGGGGCCTGCTCTCTGTTTGGTTTCAAAACATCAAGAGTATCAAAAGCATGAAAACTTTGAAATGTTAACAGATTCTTTACAGACTGAGCTTTAATTTTCAATCATCAAGTTTCAATTTATCTAGTTCTGTTTGAATAAGGGGCCCACCAAGAGTAGACTGTACCACAAACTGAGACACAGGTACAAGAAAAGACTAGTTAAAGCATGTGACCGATCCACTCACCCCGTCAGTGTCCCGCACGCTGGCCTCAGACGCTTGAGTCAGCAACGTCAGCCTGTCAGACATCGTCCTCCGCTTGTCAGTGTCATTGGTGGCTGTAACAATACAATCTTGTTACAAAAACTTTCATAGCTGAATGTTTGGACCATAAAAACAACCAATCGCAAAGACCTTGTAGACTAAGTAACATCCCAGGAATTCTAGCGTTAAAGTAATTAGGCCTGAAATGAGATAGTCTCGATCTCGACATGAACCCATTAAGGCTTCAATTTTTTATTTCCATTAATTCAAGTCATAAAAAATCTAACAAAACATCCCAACTGTAGTAACAAGTGTTTTACTCATTCACAGGTTTAGGTTTGGATTCCATACAGTGGTGGCAAAATCAATTGTTTCAACAATCACAGAAATAGCACACAATTTTGTTAATACTGTACTTGATTGTCTCCACGGAGGGTCGGAAAACCAAAGATCAGATAAACTTACAGCCCTGATTTTTAAAATTTTAATTTCTCAGCCATTTGTACCAGAATAGTTCTTCATATCCTGCGCGTAGTCCTCCAGGATGGTCCTGATGCGCTCCTGAGCTGCTTCGTCAGTCTTCCTCATCTCCTCGTCAATGTAGTCATCTGGCTCCTCAGGCTCATCTTGCAAGGGTGAACGACCTCTGATCTTTTTCCTTTTTTCAGCTAGAAAAAAGAGTGTTCAAAGTGTTTCTTTTAATTCAAATTAATTAAACACTTATGCACTAAAATATCATTTTCAGCCAAAGCCTTTGTGGATACAAAGGTAATATGGTTTTTCATTATAGTTAACCTTATTCACTGAATTATTGTTTAAAGGAGTTTAACAATATGCAACACTCGCATTAAACAAAAAATAAAACTTAACTGTAACTAACAATATTTGTTTGCATACCATCATAGACGGCTGAGAAGCCATTCTGCTTTGGTGCTCATTTGAAATAATTGATCAATTAGTTAGTAATCCAATCACTTTCATGAACATTTTTAATAATAGGAGTGAGGTACAGAATCAATAATAGATTTGGTGGCTAGACTGACACACCTGTAATCCCTCACCTTATCAGCGCACACACAAAACGGACAATGGGCTAAGAGTGAAAAGTTCAAAAGGAAAAGTATGCTCACCTTTATATTCATCTAGGACGGATTGTGTTTTGGCATCAACTTTTGCAACAAGTTTCTTGTTTCCAATTTCCATTTCATGAAGGATTCTGATGGCACGTAGTCCTGCATCTGGATTTCCGTACTCGCAAAAACCAAATGCTACAACAAAGCAAAGATTAATTATTTTAAAAAATTGTCTAGAAAAGAGCATGTTGTTTTGTAATCATAAGAATAAAATAAGTATATGTATAAAAATCACTAAAATAACAATTATGATCAAAATAGTTTGTGGTAATAATTAATTATCATCAGTATCAGGTTTTATTGTAATGGAGGTAATGATATCATCCCCATACCAACCCAACACAGTTGTAAAAATGTGAGAGACCAATAGAATATTAAGTCCAATTTTTAAGGTAAAAAAGTTTTGCGATCATCAAACAAACTGGTGTACAGGTAGTTACAGCTAAGTTGGCACTTGGGCCTGGCGCACCACTGCGTGGAAGCTAGGCAAAGATCTTTCTGAAACATTCCGCTGCGGACTCACGGGGTTGGTGCCTCCAAACGAAGATTAACATCATACTAAACTAATAGGAGATGACTAATACGGTGTGGTATTGTTATGAAAACCCAGGGGAATACTTAAACACTATGCTTTATTAGTAAGTCGTCACCTTTGCTAGCATCACCACAGTGTAAATATGTGTCTTTTCTAGTATAAAGAATTTTGTTTGTGTAATTAAAAAATGGGTAGTCAAAGTCAAAGTATTTATTTGCACATAACATTTATGAGTTACAGCAGGTAACATTAAACTGGTTAGGAGGAGTCGCTTCAAATAAGACTTAATACATCTAATTAAATCTAGCTGCTTTACATGGTTCGGTAATTTATTGTACATTCTTTTACCCAGCTCAAAAGTTGAATTAATTGACCTTCGATAGCTACATTGGTCAGTTCTTAAATAATTGTTTTGCCTAGTAAAGTAGTTATGAACATAGCTATTAGTTTGAAACTGCTCTAAATTAGTTCTAATGTACATTAAGCAATCCAATATAAACAAAGAGGGAACAGTCATTACTTTAAGTTTCTTAAAAAGTGGTTTGCAATGGGTCCTACGATTAACACTGAACATGATTCTTAAGGCTCTCTTTTAAAGCCGCAATAATTTTATTGTATTACTGTCATAACCCCATGACACTATACCATATGACAGGTGGCTTTGTATATGTGCAAAATACACAGCAGCCAAAACATCAATATTAACAATTAACTTAAGTCTTCTAATCATAAAGATTGCTTTAACTACCTTATTGCACAAAGATTTAATGTGTTCATCCCACTTAACATTAGTCTGTAAAGTAAGCTTAAATTTATTAATAATTTGTGTTGCGGAAATGTTTAAAAGTGAAAGGAGTGAACATACTAACTTTTATCTACAGTAGACATATTTTAAGAAAAGCATTCCGTGTTTTCATCCATTCCAGCCAGCGCCTTCATGCAGGCCGAGAGGACAGTTGATGCTACCCACATGACTGCAGAAAATGTTTTTGACATATGTTAGTAGAGAATTTCTATCGATCGGTCAAGTGCCAACTTAGCTGGAACTACCTGTACCTTACTGGTAGTTTCTTGAGGGTTGTGTAATAAAAACGATGTAAAATTATCTTTGATTTACTACAGACAAACATTGTACCAAGAGTTATCAAGGAGAGCTTACAAGGGAGGAAATGGAACAATCAACTTAACCTGTAACCAAGATGTACCAATTTATTTCTACCATACCTTGGACACGTTTCCACGACAGCACGGTGCCACACGCAGCCAGTATGTGGCGTATCATCTGGTCAGGAGCTTTGTCTGTGATGTTTCCCACAAACACTGTAACTGTGGGGCCTGACACTACCTGTGGCACCATGTTTTGTGGCCGAGGTCGGTTCTGCGGCCTCTGCTGTGCATTGTGTGGACGGTACGGCCTCATAGGCATAGCTGCCATCGGAGGGCCGGCCATCATCTGGAAGGTACATGAATCACAGGAT